TTTAGGTAGTCACTGGACAAAGCTGCTTTATCCAACCGCTTTGGACCCATCCCAGGACAGCATTGCATACATCTGTGAATGCCTCAAGCAGCACAACCTCCTGGGGAAGCGAACCAAAACCAGTAACAAAACATTGTTGCAGCTTGCAGTAGAAGCTGGCAGTGCACACACTGTGGCACACCTGATTGCATGTGGTGTTGACTATGAGGAGGCTGACACAGATGGCTGGAGGGCTCTTCACATAGCTATCTTCAAGAGTCACAGAGCCGTGGTAGATGTTCTCCTTACAGCAGGTGCAGATGTGCATGCCATGACAAAGAAGTGGCAGAGCCCCAACCACAAGCCATCAGGTCTCTATCAAGGTGATGGGTGGACCGGCCAGGCTCTGCACCTGGCGGCCATGACCGGGGATGCGCACATCGTAGCAGAGCTTTTAGCACGGGGAGTCGATGTGCACGCCCGCACTTATTACACCCTATTTCAGCGCGATGTCACAGCACTCCACATTGTGTTAGACACTGGTACATTCTATGGTAGGAAAGGTACGGCACTGGATCGTGGAAGGCTGGAGATTGCAGCAATGTTGATTGAGCACGGGGCAGAGGTGCAGGGTGCTGTGGACCTGCTATACCTCAAAGACGTGCTGTTATTTGAAGACTTTGAGGATGTCTGGGACAGGCTGAGAGCGGGGGTCACTGATAGGGGCGCGAGGTTGAAATGATAAGTCGTTGTTCTTGGAGGTTTTGAACTGTTCTGTTTGTAATTATTAGCAATCCTAATTTTTTTGGGCGAGCGGCTTGAAAGGATGGAGCAAAACTCATGTGTTATAGGTCGAGGAAAAGGTCAGTAGCGCGTGCAGATATAATCTATGCGCTGTCAAATCGGGCTCAACCTATGGCCTGTGGTCAGGGATTTTTCTTCTTTTCAACCAGGGGATTCTAGGGAATTGGTAAGATCAGCCTGATAAGAGGGCCAGGGAGGCTCAGCGAACATCTGAAATTCTGAGAGGGTGAATCGGGAACGACTTGCAAGCAGACCTCGCCTGACTAGCCATATAATGCATGCAGATTTCGCCTGTTCAGATCAGGTCCAAGCCAGGACACAGTGTCGAATTTATTTTTCTCAGCATCACGAATCGAAAGTATGGAGAAAGATTGATGTACCGGAGAAGGATGGAAGGCTCGGTAGCGCGTGGTATGCACCTGCATATAATTGCATTGAGAGTTTCGTTACAGCAGAGTCCATCCGTTCGAATCGAGCCTGATATGTCCGGTTTCGTGTATTTTTTCAAAGTTCTCTCTTATCATGGGAAGAAAATCGGGTGGTTAGAGCACATACCAGAATACACAGAAAGGCTCAGTAGCGTGTGGTACGATTCTGCATTGATTTCACTGGTCTTTGTTAACTTGGAGCAGATATCGTCTGTTCGAGAAAGCTGTTTTCTTCGGTGTCATGAATCTTGAATATACAATAAGGCCGATGTACCAGAGCAGAAGGAAAGGTGGGTATTAGTCCGCTGGCGTTCACGCCGCAATACCTGTAAATAATCTGGGGTGCCCCATCAGATAAAACTAACAGCGGACCGGTATCTCCACCAACCAAGTGGTTGAGTGTGAGGTATCGTCATGAAATGAATTTGGGGTGCCAGGCATGGCAAGAAGCAGAAGTAACGACTCTGTGGATAATCTCCAGTTCAAATCAGACTGTGTTTGTTCTCATTACACAGTCGACTCAAATCGGAAATAAAGAGGACCGCAATGGGGGACAGACACTTCGGTGTAAGGTTATAATGATCTGACGACAATGTGAAGTTTTTAGCTCATAGCCTCTGTCGACAGGATACCCCATGGGAAACTCTTCTAGTCGAACCCTTTAAGCTCCGGTGGAAGCCCGGGATATAAATTAAATGTAGTAGGTAAGTACAAGAAGTACCCATGCATTAGTGACTTCTGCACAGGCCTAACTAGGTACGGTAGTGGAGTAAAGGAGAGCCGTAATCACATCCTGAAGGCAATGCCCCAAGTTGGGTAGAAGTGCTGTGTACGGAAAGTGACAGTGGTAGGCCCGGAGAGTGGGCTGAGGGGTATAAATAAATAGGGGATTTGCCAGGAAACTGGGCTTACTAACGAGTAGTGACAGCAACTCGGACGCTTTCGGGCGGCACCCAAAATTTATATCTCATCGAAATTGCATTTACTTTACACACGGAAGGCGAAACGGGTTTAAATAACCCATCCACAGTCAGAGTGAGCATATGTTGAAACTCATGAATGACAAGCGGAGGCGAGGGTGACACTGTTATCCCAGACCAAACTACACATTGCCCAAAAGGCGGTGCATCACGGTGGTCTGACCCTGGTGGTTGGATAGTCTTCATGGTAGAGGTCGTAGTAGCGGCTTGGGGGTAAAGCCTTAGCGAAAGCGAAAGGTGACATGTTTTGTGCTCAATGTCATTGCATTTTTGTAGTGTTAGTTTCGACTGACCTGCAGTTTACTTATCCCGAGGGCCACGAAAAGGCCTCTAAAATTCCCGGGGCTCCGCCCCGCGCATTATTTTGTGCCATCCGGACTCCCGGTCAACATACGGCTCGGTCTCGCTACGACGCATCCTGGCCGGACCACATTAGATACATAGATGTGAACATGTACCATGGCCGCTTACAGCGGCCCGAGCACGATAATGGAACTCATCGTCATCATCAGAAAGAAAGGCTCGGTAGCGTGTAGTACGCATCTGCATACAATAATGAAATGCTCAACCAGTGTGAACAAAAATCTCGACTTGGGCCAGCGGGTGGGAGATATTGAGGCTTGAGCATAAACAGAGGTGCATAAAGTATTCTGGGATGTCGTATGGGATTCCTATGGTTTTGGCACATTAACCTGACAGATGGATCAACTTGATGAAGAAGAACGGAACTCGGTTGAGTTATGTACATAACCACTGAACCATAATATATAGCCATCAAAACCGGCAGCCAACGTGGCACTTTAGTCTAACAGTTACCGACCCGGATATTCAGTGGGTGAACATTTGAATCCCACCCCGTCCTCAGTCTTTTCTGCTGCGCTAACCACAGCTCAGCCACCGATTAAACAATTTCTTAAATCTGTGCTTTAATCCAGGATTTCTGTCTTATCAGCCCGGATTAAGCAATCCTGCTAGGGTTACTGCGGGATTTTGGATCAGTCACCCGGTTTAGATTCAAAAGTACCGAGGAAGGAGGACGTACCAGAGGGTAGGGCAAGGCTCGGTAGCGTGTGGCACGCATCTGCATTGCATCGAGCTTGATTACCATGTACCTAAAATATGCAGTAAGACCGACGTACCAGGAGAAGTAGGAAAGGGTTGGTAGCGTGTGTTACGCATCTGCATGCAGTGTGGGTTGAGATGTCACCGAAAGCAGAGTCCATCCCGTTCGGACTAGGCCCGAGCCATGGCGCGATCTCTAACCCTGTTTTTCTCAGTGGCATGAATCGAAAGTATGAAGTAAGGAAGACGTACCGGGAAGAAGAAGGAAAGGTTCGGTAGCGTTTGGTACGCATCTGTACAGTAAACAGGGAATTGAAGTGCATCGAGCAGAGTCTCTTCCGTTCGATTCGGGGTTGAGCCATAATAGCTGGGAAGGCAACCTTTTCCCCCCGCCGACGCAGGATCCTGGGCGCTATTCAGCCATGAAGGTCGTGAAAGAAACATCAAAGACAGGACAGACAGACCTTTGGGGAATCGTTCTGAGTCTGCGGAACGCGGGATTGAATTGTATCGGTTGGCCGGTTCAGAGTATCGAGTGAAAAAGATGTAGGGAGGGAAAAGGAAAGGCTCGGTAGCGTTTGTCACGCATCTGCCTTCATTGGGTCGACATTGTGAGTTTTGACGCAGACCCCGCCTATTCGAATCAGGCCCGAGTCATATCAAGATGTCATTTTTTCTCGGGCTCAATATTGAGACATTGTGGAATGAAATAAGCGAGGGAGAGGGTAGGAGGTGTATCCAATGAGGAATTCGCCACCAGCCTGAGCGGTCGCCCGAGCCGTGATTTGTTTTTCCCATCGGCACGAATTAAGTCCTGAGCCAGCTTAACCTGAGCCACGAATTGAATCCGAATCCTGCAGCTGAGCACCGAGGCCCTCCCGTGCGAGTCGGTACGGGGCCTTTATTGCGTGTACAGAGATGGTCTATGAGGCAAAGATTGACTGAGAATACTGAATCAAGGGACTCGGGGCACGAAGAACGCACGAGGCGGGGTGGCAATCTTGCGGCACGAGGAGAGCTCACTGGTCCGGGGCTGAACCGTTGTCTCAGCAGCATGAATGGAGAGTATCGAGGAAGGAGGACGTACCAGGATAAGGAGAAAGGCTCAAGAGCGTTTGGAACGCATCTGCATACAATGTTAATAGAAAAAATGAAGCCCTGTACAGCAGAGTCCACCCCGTTCGATCCGGGGCTGAGCCATGGATGATTCCGACGGAAATTGATTTTCCCCCGCCGGCGCAGAGCCCTGGGCGCCTTTCAGCCATCTGGATTGGGAAAGGAGAATGGCAAACAGTGAGTTGGAGGTGTCGTTTTCAGTCTAAGTGTGTTATATTAGTTAAGACTGGAGAGAATCGAGTTACGAGTCAGAGCGACGTACCAGACGGCAAGGAAAGGCTCGGTAGCATGTGGCACGCATCTGCATGCTATTATCAGCTTTAGCGACTTACGCGGATTTCAATTGCCTGTTCGAATCTGGCCTGAGCCGTCACGTAGTTCCAGACACATTTTTTTCAGTGCTACGAGTCGAAAGTATGCAGTCAGATCGACGTACCAGATGGAGAGGAAGGGCTCGGTAGCATGTGGCACGCATTTGCATACATATTAGTAAGATCAAGAGTACTTGACGCAGAGTCCACCCGTTCGATTCGGGGCTGAGCCATGTGAATTCCCGCACGTTCCTTTTTTCATGTTCAGTCTTGTAAGATGGGGATTGGAGAGTTAGAGGAGGTATTAGAGGAGGAGGAAAGGCTCGGTAGCATTTGGAACGCATCTGCATTCTATTATCAGCGAAATTGAAAGACTGATCGTGGATTACGCCTGTTCAAATCAGGCCCGAGCCATTGCAAATGCTGAATTCCTTTTTCTTAGTACCAGAAATATAGAATTGTGGACTGTGATTGACGTACCAGATGGCAAGGGAAGGCTCGGTAGTGTGTGGTACGCATCTGCATTAGTTTCAGCCTCTCTGAAATGATCTGCGCAGAGTTCGCCTGTTCGAATCAGGCCGAGCCATGACCCAGCATTGAACCTATTTTTCTCAGTGCCACGAATTGAAAGTATGGAGTAAGATCGACGTACCAGGTAGCTATGAAAGGCTTGGTAGCGTTTGGAACACATCTGCATGCTATTATCAGCTTTAGTGGCTTGCGTGGATTTCAATTGCCTGTTCGAATCAGACCTGAGCCGTGACATAATTCTGTACAATTTTTTTCCGTGCCACGAATCGACAGTATGGAGTAAGATCGACGTACCAGAGGCCAAGGAAAGGCTCGGTAGTGTGTGGCACGCATCTGCACTCACTCCTTGATGTACGCCAGTCGATGCAGATCCCGCCTGTTCGAATCAGGCCTGAGCCATGGGTATTCCGCCCACTTCTTTTTTCACGCTCCGTCTTGTGGGATTAAATTCGGTGGGTTAAAGGCGGTGGAGGAGGAGGGAAGGCTCAGTAGCGTGTGGCACACATCTGCTTTCATTCCGTAGAATCGATGCAAGCTGACGCAGAGTTCGCCTGTTCGAATCAGGCCCGAGCCGTTACATAATTCTGTATGCTTTTTTCAGTGCCACGAATCGAAAGTATGGAGTAAGATTGACGTACCAGGATAAGGAGGAAGGCTCGGTAGCGTGTGGTACGCATCTGCATCCTTTAATGTAGGCCCCGTGTTTGCATGCAGAGTTCGCCTGTTCGAATCAGGCCCGAGCCGTTACATAATTCTGTATACTTTTTTCAGTGCCACGAATCAAAAGTATGGAGTAAGGAAGACGTACCGGGGAAGATGGAAAGGCTCGGTAGCGTGTGGTACGCATCTGCACTCACTCCTTGATGTACGCCAGTTGATGCGGATTTTCAGTACCAGAAATATAGAATTGTAGAGTAAGATCGACGTACCAGACGGCAAGGAAAGGCTCGGTAGTGTTTGGAACACATCTGCATTCTATTATCAGCTGTAGCGACTTGTGCGGATTTCAATTGCCTGTTCGAATCAGGCCCGAGCCGTTACATAATTCTGTATGCTTTTTTCAGTGTCACGAATCGAAAGTATGGAGTAAGATCGACGTATCAGACGGAAAGGAAAGGCTCGGTAGCGTTTGGTACACATCTGCTTTCATTTCGATAGGATCGATGAAACCTGACGCAGAGTTCGCCTGTTCGAATCGGGCCCGAGCAATTGCACAGCACCGAGCTCCTTTTTCTCAGTACCACGAAGATAGAATTGTGGAGTAAGATCGACGTACCAGGTAGCCAATAAAGGGCTTGGTACCGTTTGGAACGCATCTGCATACAATAAATGGGCAATGGTGAAAGTGCATTGAGCAGAGTCTACCCCGTTCGATTCGGGCTGAGCCGTACTGTGGTTGACGCTTTTTGAATACTCGTCCTGTTGCACGATAAAATTGGGTGGTCAAGGACGCACCAGAGAAGGAGGAAAGGCCCAGTAGCGTCTGGTACGCCTCTGCGTACAATAAACGTTGGGGACGTCCATTGAGCAGAGTCTCCCCCGTTCGATTCGGGGCCGAGCCATGGTAATCCGGCGCACTCCTTTTTTCACGCTCACTCTTGAGAGCTGGGAATTGGAAAGTGAGAGGACATACCAGAGTACAAGGAAGGGCTCGGTAGCGTGTGGTACGCATCTGCTTTCATTTCGTCAAGTTGAGCCTTGACGCTGAGTCTGCCTCTTCGAATCAGGCCCCATCACGTGGTCGACAACCTTTTTCTCAGTGGCACGAATCGAAAGTATGGTATATCATTGACGTACCAGGATAAGGAGGAAGGCTCGGTAGCGTTTGGAACGCATCTGCATACAATATACCCGATAGAAGCCGTGTACAGCAGAGTCGCCCCGTTCGATCCGGGGCCGAGCCATGTGGATCCCCGCAGTTTCCTTTTTTCATGCTCAGTCTTGTGAAATAGAGATTGGAGAGTTAGAAGACGTACCAAAGAGCGAGGAAAGGCTCGGTAGCGTGTGGCACGCATCTGCACTCATTTGTCGTGACCCTCGTGCTTGCATGCAGAGTTCGCCCGTTCGATTCGGGGCTGAGTCATTGCACAAGTCCAAAACCTTTTTCTCAGTACCACGAGGATAGAGTTGTGGGTGAAGATCGGCGTACCAGAGTGAGGAGGAAGGCTCGGTAGCGTTTGGAACGCATCCGCTTTCGGTCCTGTCCGTGTAATAAAATTGATGCGGATTGCGCCTGTTCGAATCAGACCCGAGCCATGACATAATTCCACAAGCTTTTTCTTAGTGCCACGAATATAGAATTGTGGGGTCAAATCGATGTGCCAGACAGCATGGTAAGGCTCGGTAGCGTTTGGTACTCATCTGCTTTCATCTCGGCCCGGGCAACAAATTTGATGCGGATTTCCCCTGTCCGAATCAGGCCCGAGCCATTCTACAGGGTCCACCACCTTTTTCTCAGTGCCACGAATCGAAAGTATGTAGTAAGAAAGACGTACCAATCCTTTTTTCACGTTCAGTCTTATGGGTAAAATTCGGTTGGTTAGAGAAGGTGCCAGAGTGAGGAGGAAGGGCTCGGTGGCGTTTGGTACGCATCCGCTTTCATTCCACTGAGGGTGTGCGAGACTTGACGCGGATTCCGCCTGTTCGAATCAGGCCGAGCCATTGTAAATTCTGAATTCCTTTTTCTTAGTACCAGAAACATAGAACTGTGAACTAACATCGACGTACCCGACGAGAAGGAAAGGCTCGGTAGCGTGTGACACGCATCTGCGCGCATTTCCAGCTGGAGAAGGGCTGGACGCAGACTTCGCCTGTTCGAATCAGGCCCGAGCCATTGTCACAGGATCAAATGTCTTTTTCTCAGTACCATGAATCCGAAATGGGCACTAACACCGACGTACAGGAGGGCAAGGAAAGGCTCGGTAGCGTGTGGCACGCATCTGCATACATATTAGTAAGATCGAGAGTACTTGACGCAGAGTCCACCCGTTCGATTCGGGGCTGAGCCATATGAGCTGCGCACACTTTTTTACGCTCCGTCGTGTGGGATAAAATTTGGTATGGGTTAGAGGAGTTATTAGAGGAGGAGGGAAGGCTCGGTGGCGTTTGGTACGCATCTGCTTACATTTCATCCCGCTGAGTTATCATGCGGATTGCGCCTGTTCGAATCAGGCCCGAGCCATGAAAGAGGTCTATATATGCTTTTTCTCAGTCCCACAAAGATAGACTTGTAGGGTAGGATATACGTACCAGAGGAGGAAGATAAGGCTCGGTAGCGTTTGATACGCCTCTGCACTCATTTATTATAGCCCCCGTATTTGCATGCAGAGTTCATCAGGCCCGAGCCATTATTATGCGGTGTCAAACTCTTTTTTCTTAGTCCCACGAAGATAGAATTGTAGAGTAAGATATACGTATCAGAGCACAAGGAAAGGCTCAGTGGCGTTTGGAACGTATCTCCTCTCAATTCGGTAGTTATCGTCAACTCGATGCAGAGTTCGCCTGTTCGAATCCGGCCTGAGCCGTGACAGAATTTTATACAATTTTTTTCAGTGCCACGAATCGAAAGTATGGAGTGAGATCGACGTACCAGATGGAGAGGAAGGGCTCGGTAGCGTGTGGCACGCATCTGCTTTCATTTCGTCACGGTGACCTTTGATGCGAATTGCGCCTGTTCGAATCAGGCCCGAGCCACTACACAGCATCGATCTCTTTTTTCTCAGTGCCGCGAATCGAAAGTATGGAGTACAATCGACGTACCGGGGAAGATGGAAAGGCTCGGTAGCGTTTGGTACGCCTCTGCACTCATTTGTTGTAGCCTCCGTGTTTGCATGCAGAGTTCGCCTGTTTGAATCAGGCCCGAGCCATTATTATGCAGTGTCAAACTCTTTTTTCTTAGTCCCACGAAGATAGAATTGTAGAGTAAGATATACGCACCAGAGGAGGAGGATAAGGCTCGGTAGCGTTTGGTACGCCTCTGCTCTCAATTCGGTAGTTATCGTCAAATCGATGCAGAGTTCGCCTGTTCGAATCAGGCCTGAGCCGTGACAAATTCTATAATTTTTTTTTCAGTGCCACGAATCGAAAGTATGGAGTAAGATATACGTACCAGAGAGAAGGGAAAGGCTCGGTAGCGTTTGGTACGCATCTGCATTCATCTCATCGCGTTGACCTTTGATGCGGATTCCGCCAGTTCGAATCCGGCCCGAGCCATAGTCTGGCCCAGCATTTTTTTCGGCCTCGATTGGGAGATTTTGGAGTGAGAGGGTAGGGTAGGAGCGGGTCGGTGGGGTTTGGAACCTGCATTATAATCCGATGAGAAATTCGGCATCAGCCTGAGAGTGAGGTGCCGCCCGAGCCGTGATTTGGCTTTCCCATCGGCATGAATTGAATCCTGGGCCACGACTTAAGCGCTCAGGCCCCAGGCACCAGAGGTCCTCCCGCGCGAGTCGGTGCGGGGCCTTTATCGGCCGTACACGCAGATCGCTCGGATGAGGCAAAGATTGACCAAGAAAGCGTGCATGAGGGCACGAGGCGGGGTGGCAATCTTCCGGCATGAGGAGAGCTCACTGGCAGCGCTGAGTGCTATTTTCCCGGTGGCGTCTATCGCATGTCGAGGACTTGGCAGACAAGCGGTGATAAGCGGCGGACCCCGCGCCTAGACCTATTAGTCAGCAATCAGATTTGGGCCCCTCCCTCTCCGCGCTCCCTTGTACTCACTCTCTCCCTGCCGCGACGATGATACGGTTCGACACGCTCCCGCCCGAGGTGATGCAGGCAATGTGCACCCCGATGCACCAGATCCTCCCCCCGACCCCGCTTCCGCCCGCCCCGCCCATGCACGGCCACCCCTCCTCCGCCTCCCCCTACGCGCCCTACCCCTCCTCCTCCTCCCACTCCTCCTCCCACCACCCCCACGTCCAGCAGCCGCTCTCGGGCGCTCTCTACCTCGGCTCGCTCTCCGCGGTGAACGACCACCCGCTGCTGCGCGCGCACGGGATCACGCATTTGGTGCAGGCGCTGGAGGCACCGTGGGCGCCGCCGTGCCGCAAGGAGGACGGCTTCGTCGCGTATAGCATCGACATCCGGGATAAGGAGAGCGTCGACCTGCGCCCGCACCTCGAGGCCGCGTGTGTGTACATCGAGCGCGCGCTGCGCCGCGGCGAGGGCGTGCTGGTGCATTGCCAGCAGGTGCGTCCCTCTTCCCTGCTTTCGCATGATGCTAACGAAGCGCAGGGCGTCTCTCGTTCGCCCTCGATCGTGATCGCATATCTAATCCGCAACCACGGAATGTCCTACGATGCCGCGCTCGCCTTCGTCAAGCGCAAGCGCGCGTGCGTCAAGCCCAATCCCGGCTTCGCCCGCGCGCTCGTCGAGTGGGAGGCCGCGTGGCGCCGCCCCGCCGCCCAGCGCCGCTTCACCTCGTAGCCGCTCCGCCTCTCCCCGTGTACGTCGCCGCCCCTCCGTGTGCGCTTCAGATCTGATGCATCACGCGCAGACACCATCTCCCATCCGACTGTATCATCCCCGCCCCCGCCCCCGCTCACGCCCACGCCCACCCGATCTTGCGCCCATCTACATCCACATGGACATCCACATCAATCCCCATCTTGCGCCCCCGCCCGCCCATCGTCTAAAACCCAAAAGCATCCAGCCACGTACCTTCCTCCACTCTCTGTGCTACCGCCGCTCGTTATCTATTCTGCGCTCCCTCATGTCACATCTGTCAATATCTCTTACACTTACGCTTACGCCCGTCTCGATACGCCTTCCCGTACAATTACATCCCTGTACCCTACCGCGTCGTTGTACATATACCTTCTCTCCTCCCTCTTTCTCCTTAATTCTCTCCTCCTTGATTCCTCAACAACGCTTGCTTGCTTAAACACCACACCACCCGGATCGCTTCCTTTCCTTTCCTTTCTCCTTCTCTTCTCTTTCCCGCACTCGCACTCGACCTACCTGCGTCATATACATCCGCTCGTTTCTTTTAGTTTACCTCATTCCGTTCCTTCTTTTCTATTTCTGCTGCTTACAT